ATTTAACACTAATGCTGTAAAAGTTAATGGTGTTGAGTTTAAACTTAATTTATTAGTATGCCTTGAAGTTGATAAGAAAAGAGAAGATAATGTACCACTTTTTGGCCGTATAAATGAAATATTAATATTAGAAAAGAATGAAGTATATTTTTTTACCACTTTATGTAAAACTCATTTATTTGATACTGATTTTAATGCCTATCATATTGATTTGGAAATGGATGAAGTTTCGTATCTTTTCATAAATTGTCTTAATCTTGGGCATTATAAACGATTTTCTATTTGGTCTGAACCAGCATCTAATCGCTCTTACATTAGTCTACGCCATATATTATAACTAATGTATTTTTTCTTTGCATTTCGTCACTACAGAAAATGTAAGACATTCTTTATTACTTGTAAGTACATTTATTAGATATAAATTTTATTATATTATATACTGATCTTTATGTATGAATAGTTTGTAAATATTTTGTATAAAAAATATTTATGAATAATATAATTTTTTATGTCTAATCTCTCTCTATATATTCTAAATTGCTCTTATTGCGTTTTTATTAATAATTTATATTTTTTATTAATATAAATAAATTTTTATAAATTTTTAGATGAAAAAATCGAAGGTTCTTCTTTTCTTTTACTTAATGAAAATGATTTAAAAAGTATGGGATTGAAGATGGGTCCAGTAAAAAAAATTTTTAAATTTATCCAAGATTGTTCTTCTTCTCAGGTAATGTTTTTTATAATTATTCGTATATATTTTATTACTATTTTAATTTTTTTATAATTTTATAAGCAGATACAACCATCTCAAGTAGATGGAACATATGAAGTAGCAGAAAATGGAGAAATAATATTCTCTTCAGATTTGCCTATGGAATTAGGAACTTCTATAAAAATGAATGTTGAAAGTCCATCTTCCAGTAGTAATGCTTCTTCATCTATATCAGCTATTTCTAGTAAAAATAAGGAATCTACAATATCCAAAAATAATTTTTCGGTAAAAGCAATTATGTTTTTGTAACAAGAAAAGGAGTGTAGAATATACTAATAAAAAATTATATATTTTAATTCAGCGTTTCAAAACAATTCATGAGACTCTTTTGAAGCATCCTCAAGGTACTAACATTTTGAAAGCCATAAATGGCATATTCACAGAAGATGATAGACAAAGCCTCGTGAGGATTTTAACATCCGAGTTAGTAAAAGTTCATGGAGATAATTAGTAAGTTGATTTCTGAGGAATTTTTATTATAATTTGTATTTAAATTTGCATCTTTACGCAATTGTTCTATAATTATTGTATTTTAGTTATCCACCTGAAGAAGCTAAAATAGCCCTCGCTGAAAATATCGTAAAAGAATTTCCAAAATTACGAGACTGTGAAGCAAAAAAAGGACATGTAAGAAATTATCAAAATGTTTTTTTAAATATTTAATTAAAATGAATTGATCATTGTTTTTTTACAATTTTAAGGAACTTTATTATGATTCAGTTACAAAGAGAGGCTTCATTGAATATCGTCTTTGGACGATGAGAAAACATATTTCACCTACCAAGAAAAAATATATTCAGGCAGCAATGAAAAGACGAAATGTAAATAAAATATTGTTTTCTGAAGAAAATTCAGATGAGGAACATAATGGTTTACTTCCTGAAAATTTGTATAAAGAAAAGGTATGTAGCAACAAATAAAAAATTTAATTTTTTTATCAAATTATTATGTAACTTTTTTATATGTTATAATAATTTTTAATATGTTATTGAGAAATAAAAATTACATTGTACAAAAGACATTAATTCTATTATGACATTTTCATTAGATTTCATGGATGAAATTTAAAATGCCGTCAAATGCCAATAAGTCTTCTATATCCGAATGTATGAGTATTACAATGAATAACCGGAGAAAATGGATTATGGAAAATGCCGTTTCAATAGATGAAATATGTGATGAATTTCCTCGATTAACTGATTATTCTGGGGAGATGGTAAATAACATAATGCTTTATCTTTACAGCTTAGTTGTATATTGAAAAAGATATTTTAATTATTTTACAAAAATGTATTTATATTTTTGCAGTTTGATGAGGAATTTGAAAGGTTATATAAAGGAGCTTCTGATAAATTCTTAGCAAGATTTGCCCCTTTTTATGTACAAAGAATCCTTATATATTGCAGTACAGCAAGACCAGACTTATTTAAAAAATCAGCTTTTATTCAAGATGGTAAATTTATATTTCATTATAACTCAAGACTCGATACGTGTGGCCATTTTCTTATAGTTTGATTTTGCCTAATACCATTTTTCTTACTTCATTAATCCGCGTATATTCCGAGTGTCAATCGACATATAGATTGCGCGTGGATAGAGATAAAAGGAATAACGCTAAGTATAAACCAAGCTGAAAATCGATTGAAATACAACACGTGCCGAGTCCTGCTGTAATTGAAAATCCTGTTTTCTTTTTTAATTTTAATTTTTTTATAATTTTTAATAGAAATTAAACAGTGAAATATTAATTATATATTTATTTTAATTATTATTATTATTATTATTACAATTTAATTAATAATAATTATATATTCATTTTTTCAATTATATATAATTTTTTATATATTCAGATACTCTTCGTGCCATAACTCTTCTGGCAGATTTACTTCCTGTATCAAATGCTGTTAGGAAAGGAAAAAGAAAAAGAAAAGGAGCAAGCAAGGAAAATTTATCAAAAGGGGTAACCATGTTTTATCTTATTTTTTAAATTTCTTAGTATAGACTGATAATAATCAATATAATAAATATGATTGTTAAAATATATGATTCAAATATTTGGATATTTAATTTCAGAAGAACATTATTGATAAAAGAGAACATGGTGAAATGTATACTGCAACATTTCCAAATCCTTCTTTACTACAGATATGGCCTGTGAGTTTGATTAGTGCATATAAACTTATATATTAATACTTGTGCTAACAAGAAACTCCTTTTTTCAGGAAGGAACAAACATAGAGGCCCAAACTGAGAAACTTAGAAGTGAATCCAAAGGTCCTATTCAGCCCTATATTATTTTAATCAAAGGACAATCTACACAATATTTTATTCAGGCTGATAATCGCACTCTAACTTTGAACAATAACTCGCCTATTATGGCACTTGATTTGTTGTTTAAAACATATTATGTTTTCGATGTGAAGTGTCCAGAAACACTAATTTATTTTTTTAATTTCTTAGAAAACTATTGCTTTAAAATATCCGATAAAGTACAACATGCTTTGGTTTCTTCTGTTCATATTAATATTTGCAATATAACAGTAGATAATATTGCATAATATATCTATTGTATAATATTCTCATGTTTAATTTTAAATTAACTTTATTTTGCTGACATGTTTTTATAATACTTAATTTAAAGTATCGTGAAACTAAACTTGTTTTTCTATTTTTGATTGCATTCTAGTAATTTTATAAAATTTATTTCATTATCCGATAAAGTGCAATATGTTTGAGTGTCTCTCTCATATTTCTAATATTACATTATATAATATATTGCATAATATATTCTTATTACATTTATATTCTTGTGTTAGTTGTTAATTGGCTTTATTCTATAAACATTTTGTCTTTAATTTTCAATTTATTTGAAACTCTAAACATATTATTTGATTACTTTGAATTACTTTTTATATATAATTAATATATAAAAATTATGTTAATATATAAATTACATTAAATCAACAAATATAAGAATTTTTTTGTTTGAATATCAACCGATTATTTTTTTTCCTTTGTACCACACACCAACATCCAGCAAACACTAACTAATAGTAATAATCTTAATATTATAATTTTCTACTTAACAATGTGTAAAGTAACTCAACACATATACATGTTTTACGTTACAGTTAAATTCTTGAATAGAAAATTATAATATTAAGGTTATTAGTGTTAATTAATATTTTTGCTGGGATATTCACTGATTTGAATAGCTCACATCACTGATTTTATTGTTGAAAATCACTGTTTCTAGTAGTTTAATATTACTGATTTCAGCAGTTAATATTATTAACTATTCCTTTCAGTGATATTTTACTGATTTACAGTGCTATACTTATAACTATTATAATAAGTGACTATTGACTGTTTCCCAGTGATAATACACTGATTCACTTTTAGAGAGTAGTGGAGACTGATATCTATCGGAGGAATGCATGTCACTTCTGAGACACCGGGTGCGCCTTATGGAATACACGAAGTGTAGTCGTGTGCTGTGCGAGACGGCGCAACCGAGAGGTCGGGCGAGAGATCTTTTAATGAAACGCGGATGTTAGAATGGCAGGAACGCTGCAAAATGGTCTAGGCGTGCTATGTACTCCACGTGTATGGAACGCACGCGTACATTCGCGCGTTACGCTAGTTTATACACGGACGAGACGTGAGCGCGGAGTCGGCACAAAGAGACATGCACGGTGACTATGGAAGGAAGGCATCCGCACGCGGCTAGAATATACATACATACATATATACACACACACACATATATATGTATATATACCATATATATACAAACATATATATGTATGTATGTATATATGTATATAAAAGTATGTACACGGTAAGTGCAAGCGGGAGAGCAAGCGTGGCGTCTCGAAACAAATTAAGCCCCTCGACTGTGCTTCGTTATTGAAGTGGCATTCCTGCTCAGAAACCCTCGAAAACTTGTCTCAGCCCCGCCGTCTACATACATCTCGCAGATAATCACGATAATCAGATTTTTTAATAGCTTAATAACCGTAAGAAACACTCATGCGCGCCCAAAATCGCTAAAGTGTTTACGCTTGTTGCGCTTATCTCGAGCATCAGATCATTCAGAATATCTCGGAAAGCAATTAGTTATTTGTGAAAATATTTTGCCTTGTCGGGCAAGCAATCGTGAATCTCGCATATAAACCTCATGAATTTCACAAGTCGCTTCAGTTTACTATGTATTACTGTTCACTATGATAGGGCTATAGAACGGAGAGCATAGAACCAGCTCATTATTCACTTATGCGTTCGCGAAGTTACGAAACCCTGTAAGTATTGTTTTTGCCATCGCGACTCTAGAACTCTGCTCGGAACTTGTGTGTACAGCTGCTAGTTCGCAGAGCCACGGGACGAAAGACGGCATTCATAGCCGTGTCTGTTTTTCTTTTCTTTTTTTTTTTTTTATTTAAGGCAGCTCTAATGCGCACGTATCAGCGAAACTAGTTAGCCCCGAGTCCACATTGTTACGAGACAATGTGAGGCATGAGAGGGTGGAGCGGTAGATAAAAAGGTCGAAGGTGGTGCTTCACGGACGAGACGCAGCATGAAGAAAAAACGGGGAGAGAAGGGTGGACGGAGGTGGTATTAATAAAGGGTTGCATGTCGACGGTGGAGAGAAAGGGGCAGGCGCGAGAGATGAAGAAAGAAATTCTTATTGCCTGGCAAGTCCGGCTTTTCCGCAATATACAGCGCAGGTGTACCGAATGTGTACCCCTCTCTGCTTCCGCTGCCTCGTCCGTGGAGGGTGGAAACACCCCTCGCACGCATGGTCAGTG